AAAGATTCCGGAAATTGCATGGTAGAATTCCCACAAGTATCCCTTTTTGAAAGTGTACTTGTGGAAATTTCCTAATATAAAGTTTATTGCTGCTCTCTGCTAAGCCAAGAACTTACCTATTTCACTGAGAGCCAAAGCCCGATCAAAGATTCAATATCCACTGTGTCTCAGAATGGGCAGGGGGTGGAAAGTAAAAGGAAAGTAGCTACTATTGTTTCCCTTTGAATCATAGGCGTGACTTACTCCTCCAACAACACCTACCACTAATGAATCCTTACAGTACTAATTGGTACTTATATACTGCAGTTTGAGACTGATTTACATGTCTCAAACTGCAGAACTCAGTGAATCTATATTTTAAAAACATTTTTGTTTCTTTTTCTTAGTTTGTATATAATCTCGAATTTGGAAAAACTGAAAGCTTGAGCAGCTTTTCCTCCATTTTGACTAATTCTCATTAAATTGGTTTCGAAAGTTATCATTCACGAAAAAAACAGAATCGGATGCCTATATTTTATTTATATTTTTATAGATGCGCTGTTCTTTGCATAGAAGCTTGTGATCTGCAAAATTCCTTCACAGTTGGGCAAAAAAAGAATGAGTTGTGTGGCAATGCTCATTACAGGCATGGAAATCAGAAGAAAGGGTTTACTTGGGATATTTAGGGTATTAACCTTTAATTATATAAAAGATTAACATAGATGGAGTTGCCAAGCGGCACCCAACCATGAGAATGTTGAATCAGCCCTTCTGTGATTCATCCATACAACCTATTGTTGGATGCATCATCCCCACCCATCAAATTGTTTCTTTAATGATGCAAAATAGAGCAGGAATTCCTACTGTCCTATATATTCCATCTCTATTTTGCTGCCATTATGTACATAAAAAAGATTAAACCTGGAATAAACCACGGCCACTCCATTTGTTGATGCTAATTCCCACAGTATTATTATGCATACAGTATTTGGTGTTTACTGATATTTAATAAACATCAAGCTGTATTTATGCTACCTGTACTGTGTGGCATGTACACTTGCTGTAATCTGGATGTGGGAATTGATTGGGAGTGTGCTGGGCAAACTAAACTGGAAATTATCTATAGCAATTTTCCAACACATGTAAGGATCAGTAATAAACAATGCCTAACAAAAAGTGTCCTTTTGTCGTTTGGGTATATTGTGCTATATGAACATTATGTTCTTCAGAAAAGTTTAAAATGGAAATTCGGACATAATTTTTTTGCTAAACTTTGGCATAAGCAGTAAAGATTAATAGAGCAGATTTTTTAAAAAATAAATAAATAAATTTGGTTACTAAACAAGGATATCCCTCCAATTTGTTTCATCTCATTATAGAAATGTTAACAGGGATTATTAAAATGAATAAGAAGCTCCATGATTTTCATTAAAAAATTAATGTAGTGTGATTGCAAATGACTATTGCATTTTCCATCCAAACTATAAAAATATGACTCAGATGAATAACTTTCATAGTCAACATTGACAAAGAATTTCAAAGATGTATTTAGTGTAGTTGGATTTAGCTGTTTAAGAACTATAAACAGGTTTGGCAGCATTTAAAACAAAATTTAATTTTTATCTTCATTTTCATAAGTAGTAGATAGAATAGCTATTCTATTCTGTTCTGTTCTGTTCTATTCATTTCCTAAAATGCAGTTCCTTTTTCAAGTGCATCCAATTCACTTTATATTATTTGATATTTTACATTGCAAAGAATTTGTTTACAGAGTTGTTTTTAAAAAACAAATTGGTTTTTTAAATTTGAAATAATGTGATACTTTTATATATACGGTATTCAGAACTCAAAATATGTTCACTGAGTTAGTACAAGTTGAACTCTTTCTGTTAGAACAATATTATCGATTTGATAATGGACAGTATAAAAAACCTATATTAAAAGTTGGGAAAAGGTCAAAAATATTTTTAGCCTTTTCTCCTCTCATTCTATAATCACCCACAGTTTAAATATGTAGATGAATTTTAACTAAAATGTGCAGTGTTGAAGGAATGGAAACATAGATTAAGAGATTTTATTATTGATGAGAAACCTAACCTTATTAAATTCATTTTGCCAAAGACTTAATCACAGGTTCCAACCCGGTCAGATTATGTAAGATTGTATTGCTGTTTCTTCTTAAATTTATGAAAGCTTATCAATTAAGATTGTTCATAGTTTTTGAAATGTCTTTACTATTATTCCCAAAATTTAAATGAAAGTAACAAGCTTTTTAAAAAGTCTATAAATGGTACAGAAAGAGAATTTGAGATTTGTTATTAGTGATTGAGATTGAAAGTCTTTATGATACAAAATTCTCTTCAAATATATTTTGGCAAAATATTCAGGAATTCATAGATGATACTACAACCACTCAAATATCTCTTATATTTATCAAGGTCTTTCTGGATTAACGTTGAATATGTTATAACATTAGTACATATTGGCATCTATGGTGACAATTTCCATTTAGTTAATTCTCTTGATTAACCAAAATTTGATCAAAGGTTTTGATGAAAGGGAAAATGTATAGCTTCATGAAATCCATTAATGCTAATGAACCATTTGGATTACCGTCAATATGGCACAATGGGCTTTGTGTAAATTGCCAAATTTACTGTTGAAAAATAATGGAAAAGTAAAGTACATCATCTATCATTAAGGGATAAATTGTATTTAAAGCACAGAAAATATTACCAGCAAAATTAACAATTCAACAAAATATTTTGAAGAATCCTTTACTTAACAATTGGTCAACTCATATTTGGCATCCCTTGTTTAATTATGGTAATAAGTTATCTTTGCTATGGAGAATTTAAAATTAATACTACCAGTGAATTTTTATATACTACCATGCAAATTTGTGGATTTTTGCTCATTTTGCTTTCTTACTATGTTTTTTTAATTGTGATCATCATGTCATATTTTGACATATTGGACACACATACACAAACACAGAGAGACACACACATATAACTGCTATATTTGGATTTTTAAAGGCAATTCTGTGCTACAAAGGCTAACATAGATCAGTGCAGATACATGTGGCATGCAGAGGTGGGATTACTGAATTAAATCTCCAAGGCTAATATACAGAGTAAACATTGCCTTATGTAAAATATAAGCAATAAACTAGCTTAAAGATAATGGTTTGCATGTATTTTCTTGCCTGTCTTTTCAGTAATTCAGTGCAATATTTTGAATCTACTGTGATGTTATTTCTTGCATTTTTGAAGATATAAAACTGGTTTCATGCTTTTTTGCACCAGCTATTATTTGTACAGGTTTCTCAGATTTATATGCACACAGTTTCCCACAATAGTCTTACAGTACTAGTGTTCTTTCCTGGCAGCTATTACACAAACATTTATACTAATCTCATAACATTTGAAGAATAACTATTGATGTTGGGCAAGGAAACTCTGCAAAGCCATAATTTTCAGGCCTATCCAATTTGTAATGGGTAAATGGAAAAACTCACAAGCCTACTGAAAAAGTTCAACTCTCACCATTCCAGTTTCATAACATTTATACCAATTTCTGCTCATGTTTACCTTAAATCCATCAACAAACTTGTAAATTTCCCACAGTAGGTTGAATAGCAGCTCACAAATCATATATGGGGACTCGAGCAAAAGAAAATCCAAGTGTAAACTAGGTTATTTATAATTCATAAATTTTATTTATTGATATATTCTCTAGTCTTACATATTTGGATTATATGGCAAAAAATTCTTGAGGCTGCAATGCTCATATTCTCTATAATTTTAATATCTAAATATTAAAAAGAAATTGGTTGTTTTTTTTAAATGAAGAATAAAAACATTAAATATTTATACATGTAATCTTCCTTTCTAATGACTGCTTGTCTGTTTCACTTGAGATAGAGAAAAAGACACAGACAAAGACATGCCAGTTCAACTACTTATTTAAAATAATGCTTGCAACTCTCCCCACGCAGATGGTTTCATTAATGAAATAAAGGTTCAAGCCTATTGATTACAATAAAAGACATTCAAAGTGAGATTTAAGGAAAGTTAGTCTAAGCATAGCTATTTTAAAATAAATACCACAGATGTAACTGAAATTTACAAACTGAGAATACCATAAATATTTTTAAATGGTCAACATGACTAACTTCAAACTTACCTAGATCACACTAATAGTTAAAGTCTTTTCTTTTTAGGTGCTTGCCTTATTTCTAAATTTCCACATTCTGTTGCAAACTTGGAAAAGAATTGTGTAAATCTAAACAATGAGTAACGTAGCTTTTATTATCTAGCTGTATTCTAAATTGTCATTGTCATTATAGTTTTGTAAGCGTGGACTTCATAACTGATTTCATTATTTCAAATGAAATTTTCTCCTAATTAGTTAGTGAATCTTACATAATCTATAAGATAATTAATGTTCATATTGTTGTATAAAACCTGTCATTGGTTCACATGAAATGATTTGAAATAAGTCAATGGAAGAAGCACTGAAGAGACAGGAGAGGATTATAAAAATATAAAAGGGACATGTATATTTTAAAAATACATGTTTATCATATATAGCAGTGGTGGTGAACCTATGGCACGGGTGCCAGAGGCAGCACTCAGAGCCCTCTCTGTGGGCACGTGCGCTGTCGCCCCAGTCCTAGTCCTTCAGCTGGGTTTTATAAAACCTTTTTGCTTTAGGCCTCCGCTGCCGTGTGCAAAAAAAAAAAAAAAGGTTCAATCAGTCAATTTCAACTTCTCGCGGAAAAAAAAAGATTTTGCAAAGTTGGAATTGATTGATTGAACTTTTTAGTCCCACCCAGTCTGCCGTTACCACTGCAGCCCCGCCCCGCCAATGGGCCACACCCCACCAATGGGCCACGCCCACCCAGCACTCGACGACGCATAAGTGGGTTTTGGGTTGCAGTTTGGGCACTCGGTCTCTAAAAGGTTCGCCATCACTGATATAGTATTATTTCAATTTTGCCTTTTCTTCTCTTTCAGATCTACCCTCTACTGCTATGACACAAACTTTGCAACATTATAAAGACAAAAGGTGAGTTTTTCCCATAAGTCAATCTGTCACAAACAGTTGATTTGTTAAATTAAATAGCAATAGCACTTAGACTTATATACTGCTCCATAGTGCTTTTCAACCTTTTCACCAATTGTACCATTTTGAGGATATGGCAATATTTGAGTACCACTAGTTGCCTAAGATGTCAGAAACTTGATTACCAGAAAAAAAGGGAAAAAAGTGATAAAGTACAGGTAGCCCTTGACTTACAACAGTTCACTTAGTGACTGTTACAACAGCACTGAAAAAAATGACTTATGACCATTTTTCATACTTATGACAATTGCAGCATCCCCAGAGTCACATGATTTACATTTGGATGCTTGGCAACTGATTCATATTTATGATGGTTGTAATGTTTCAGGGTCATGTGATCACTTTTATGACCTTCTGACAAGCAAAGTCAATGGGGAAACCAGATTCACTTAACCAACGCGTTACTAATTTAAGAACTGCAGTGATTCACTTAACAAATGTGGCAAGAAAAGTCATAAAATGGGACAAAACTCATTAAACAAATTTCTCACTTAGCAATATAAATTTTGGGTTCAATTGTGGTCATAGGTTGAGGACTATCTGTACACCAACTTACCACACTTTTAATGGGAAACTTCTGCCTGTTAACCTCTGCACTGTTCTATCCCCTTTTCTCCCTCTGCTTGTCTCAAAGAAGCCTCTCCTCCGTCCCCTTCTCTTTCCCCATTGTCTTTTTTTTCTCTTCCTTTCCTGCCAAAACCTCCTCCTTTTATATCCTCTCCTTTATCCCCCCTCCTCCTCCTTTTCTCTTCGGTGCAGCTCCAGCTGACTTCTTTCCCCCAGGCTGCGCACTGCTCCTGGAAGCGCCAATCAGCTGGAGCCACACGCCAATCAGTTGGAGCCATGCACCAATCCTGGGTGCTCAGCAGAGCCCCGACAATACCGCAGCTCCAGCTGACTTTCCCACAGGCCTGTGCAGCGCTGCAGCCACTTTAGCTCATTTCTCTCTACACTTAACACTTTCTTTTACACTTTTTTTTACAGTGTTTTTCAACCCGTCATATGCATACAACCAGGTGCTCAAGTACCACCAGTGAGACATATGCCATGGGTTGAAAAGCACTGCTTTACAGCATTCTCCGAGCAGTTTATGGTGTCAGCATATTGCTCCCAACAATCTGGCTTCTCATTTTACTGACTTCGGAAGGATGGAAGGCTGAGTCATCCTTGAGCCAGTCAGATCGAACTCTTGGCTATGGGCAGAGTTAGCCTGCAATACTGCATTCTAACCACTGTGTCACCTTGGCTCTTAAATTAAATGCTTATTAAATGCACACATTTAAATGCATACATATTTTTCCAGACACTTATTTTGAGGGCTCAGAGAGGCATCTTCAGGAGAAGAGATATGTGGATTGTGTTATACTTAAGAATGGAGGCAAATATATGTAGCAGGATAATTTTGCAGGATCATAATTGGGTCGGTCACCGGAACCAGAGATTTAGTTTTCCATGTTTTCAGTTCCTGAGAAGTTCCCTGAGGATGGGCTCCAGTACGACTCCAAAAACTCGGAAGACTAAACATCTGGTCCCAGTGTCCGACCCAGATTGGATCCTGTGGTATACTTTAAGCCAGACATGTCAAACCTGCGATGTCATGTGATGTGCAACGTTTCGAAGCTTTTTCCCCATTGCCGGCAATGGGGTGGGCGCGGTTTCCTTGTAATGCATCTGGCCCGCGGGCTGGCAGTTTGACACCCCTGCTTTAAGCTGTTGTGTTCAAATTCTGAGCATTTACAGGTAGAACCATGGTAGGATATTTTTACTGCTTCTAAATACATTTATGTATTTTATTAGAAAGATTTTTATTCCCAATATCTCTAGAAACCCCAGAGATCTATTTCTTTACCCTATAAATGATTTGTAAAAATCAAAATGAATTAGAATATGGACATAATTTTGATTCTAAACTGTTGTCCCTTAAATAAGTATATGATTTAGGTATTTTTGATCAGCTATTTGATTTTTTTTACCCAAGGCTGCAAGCAATCGGGTAGTAATCTATGTGGAGTGCTGCCTACCACTTAAATTGCAGAAAATTTAGCATAGAGCCGTGGTGGCGAACCTATGGCACGCATGCCACAGGTGGCACGCAAAGCCCTCTCTGTGGGCACGCGCGCTGTCACCCCAGTCCTAGGCCTTCGGCTGGGTTTTATAAAACCTTTTCGCTTTAGGTCTCCGCCACCGTGTGCAAAAAAACCCCCGTTCAATCAATCGATTTCAACTTCTCGCGGGAAAAAAAAGATCTCGCAGTTGGAATTGATTGATTGAACTTTTTAGTCCCACCCAGTCTGCCGTTACCACGGCAGACACGCCCACCCAATGGATCATGCCCAACTAACTGGCCACGCCCAGCCAATGGACCACACCCACCCAATAGGCCAAGCCCACCCAGCACCCAACGATACCTAAGTAGGTTTTGGGTTGCAGTTTGGGCACTCTGTCTCTAAAAGGTTCGCCATCACTGGCATAGAGTATGATTTTAAAACATTTTTGAAAACAATAAAATAAATCCTCACAGGAAACAGTGGAAGCATAACTTTGTTCTTACCCATTGAAAAATAATTGTTGTTGTTTTTAGATTAGAGCAGTGTTTCCCAAACTTGACAATTTTAAGGCATGTGGACTTCAACTCCCAGAATTCCACAGCCAGCGTTGCACATTTTTCAGCTTGAAGTTACAGAAGCCAGAGAGCCACAAATTATGATTCCTTCCATTTTCAATAGGGATTACCATCCAACTTTTTTCAAGAGTTGAAATAATATCTGTGGTATATTTTGGATTTTTTTTATCCTTGTGGGAAGCAAGGACAGAAAAAACAACCATGATTTTTTTTTAACTGCTTTTTAGGAATAATAATCAGATCTGAGAACATGAAGAGTGTAGGCCTACTCTTAACAAACCTTAACAAACCAATTCAAGCAATCTTGAATATATCATGAAGGCTCTTTGCATGATTGATTGATTCCTCTTAAAGTTCGTTATTTTCAGAATTTGACTTCAAATTCATAATTTAAAGACATTTCTATTTCTTCTCTTATTTTTCAGTGTTTGTCTTTCACATATTACTACTAGAAAAACTATTGCCTAACTGTTCCAGTCTTTGTTGTTACAGAAATAACCTTATCCTCCATAATCTTATCTAATTTTTTGTTGCATTCCTCCTTAATCTCCTATTTGCATTTTCAGTACATGTACGTATTTATCTGTTCCTGAGCTCCAATTTCTGCTTTTCTTTAATCTCATTTCTTCTGTCAGATCATCCTTACTCTTGAGAGCATTCCTGCTCTACTTATTTGGGTATATTTTCCTGTGATTTCTCTTAAAAGAGCGCTCATTTCCGTTTTCTGGTTATATTCCTCTGTTTATTGACATTCTTGATTTACATATCTTTTCTTATTCTTTCTTGCTTGAAGATAAAAGCCTGTATTCAGTCATTGTGCAGGCCTCTATCTCATTGCTCAAGGCTTTCATCCTCTCTCTGGTTATCATGATAACTTGTTGTGAAAGCTATTTGGATCTTTTCCTCATTTAATTGTTGGGAATATTTTTTTCCCCTTGCTTTTCACAATACAGTTCCTTCTTGAAAGCAGTTGGCTTCACTCAATCCTACGAAGTTACATTTTTTTCCTTTTCCCCATGGTAGGTTACTCTTAGTTTCAGCATATTTTTCTTTCTTATGCTTCTAATATTTGAAAATGAGTTAATTACTATATATTTGGTTAAGAGCAACTTTCTGAGAATTTTGAAGAATCATATTTTAATTTTATAGGATTGTAGTGTTGTGAAATTTAAGGATTTCTGATTTAGAATATTCAGTTATTTCCTTTTCTATTGTTATATAATTGGACTACATTTTTGTATATTTCTGGTAATTTTTTATTTCTTTTTTTATGTGCCTCCCTTTACTTCATTTTATTATGGGAAGAGCTGCTTATACTTTTGTATGTATTAGAATAACCATTACTTAGTGTGTGTCTTCTTTATGAAATATGTTAAATTCAGAATAGTAAGTTAATTTGAATCCTTGATTGAAATCTGCTTTCCCATCTTTTTACATCTACTTGTTTGCTGAGGAAACTATTATTCAACTGGTTACTATAACAAGTCTAGATTTCAATGGGTGGCTTTTAACTGATAATTTAATCACGGTTTCATTTTGTTAAACTGTTTTGCCCTAAAATTGGAAGCCAGCTGCTAAAAGCAAATTTGTATAGGAACAAAACATGTCAACAAGGTTTGAAACTACAGTTTTAATACTAAGATTATGATTTTAATATTTATATTTAATCTCCACTTGCAGCCTGAGTTTTCTGCATCTGTATGTTGATATGCATACACATATATTCCACACAAACCAGGACAGCCACCCCAACTCATTAAACTCTCTGCATGAAATAGTACTTGAAAGAGAATTTGCCAGATTATACAAATAAGAAGTTAGACCCTATTTGAACTAATAATCTGGATGAGTCAAAAGATTTGTTGGCATTTGTTTAAGCAATTTTAGTTTTGACCTTTAAAACCTCAAATAGAAACATATTTCAATTTTGTGTTTCAAAGACTAACAAACATGAAGGTCCTTTTTGGCAAGATGTTTAAATCGAATGTGTCCTTAGGTATGAGCACTAAACATAAGAATTCCATTTCATGGTAGAAGAAGAAAAATGAGAATCCAAAATAGTAAATCTATTAAGATATTTATGTTTGGCAACTATGTCCAGGGACCCAAGTTAGAAAAAAAAGGCTAGTTAGCTCTTAGTTAGATTTTTTTTATCTTGCTTAACGAAGAAAAGCTATTTCACAGAGCTAATCATGCCAGAACTATTAAAAGTACCATTTATTGTTTCGGCAATAGAGATTGAATACATTATAGAGAGTAAATACTAAGCTTTTTTGTTTTTTGTTTTATTTTACAGGGTTGGGAGAGAAAACAACACAGCATTCTAGCTGCCTCAGTCACCTTGAAGAAACATACTATACGTAAAAACAACCCAGCTTCCAAAATTTGTTTGTGAGACAGAATCAGTGGCAGTTATATGAATGTTTTTATAAATGATGCTGCTATCAATAATGTAACATAGATTTATACTATACATAAAGGAGTTGTTGGAGAAAAAGAATTTGTACACCTAGAGTATTTTGAACCCGCCTTTTTTTTAACAAGGAAGACAAAGTCTTCTCTTTCCTCATATTGTCAAAAGATGCCAGCCAAGACACCCATCTACTTGAAAGCTGACAATAATAAGAAAGGAAAGAAATTCAAGTTGAGGGACATTTTGTCTCCTGATATGATCAGTCCACCTTTGGGTGACTTCCGCCACACAATTCACATTGGGAAAGAAGGACAACATGATGTGTTTGGAGACATCTCTTTTCTGAAAGGAAATTATGAGCTTCTACCTGGAAACGAGGGAGAAACAGCAGCCAGCCAATATGAAGGATGCAATGAATTCCTAAGGGCAAACAGCACTTCTGACTCAGTGTTTATTGAAACTCCTTCTCCCGTCCTTAAAAATGCCATATCGCTTCCTGCCATCGGTGGTTCTCAAGCCCTTATGTTGCCCTTGTTGTCACCAGTGACATTTAATTCAAAGCGGGACTCGTTGGGACCCCTGAGGAATCCCAGGCATAGTTGTGAGCCGGTAATGGAAGAAAAGTTGCAGGAGAAGAGCAAACACTTGGAGAATGGGAAAATATACAGAGATGACATCACATGGAAGCAGAAAGCGCCAGCATCATATTATACTAATGGAACAGACAGCCATTCAACTAGCCATTCAGAACAATATACCAAATGGCAAACAGAGGAGTTCCTTGACAACCCTCATCTGTCATGTGATCAAACCAAGATGCAGCCTAAATCAGACGATCCTCTTTCAGACCTGGCAGAACCCCTCCTTTCTTTGCAGCTTGACCTCGGACCCTCACTTTTGGATGAAGTACTGAGTGTAATGGACAAAAACAAATCATAGAACTTGCTGCTTTGTGCCATCTCAGTTTTCTTCAAAGAAATATATTTGAAATGTACAGACACCATCCATCCAATGTCAAGCGATTAAAGTTGTAATCTAATGCATACTGATTTTTGCAGTCGTCTCCCAATGTTTTTGCTTATTAATAAAAAGGTGTCAAGCCTCAACTCATTTGAATGAGAAAAATAAGTAAATATTTAAATATCTCAGCTATTGAGAATAAATGGAAAAGAGATAGGCTTACCCTCGGATGGATTGTGCCTTTTGTTTGTATATAAAAATTGGTTCTTTTTGCAATTGACATGTTTTCTAAAAACAAATGACTTTAAACTATTTTTTTACATATTTTTTAGCATGGCAAATGTTTTCAAATGAGTACATATTTTAATGACACTATTTTCAGCTGTATTAAAATATTTCATTAAAACAAGAGATGTCAATGTAATATTTGAACTTATTCTGAAAATCAGAAAGTGTTTGATTCTCAAAGATTCCATGTATGCTAGGCAGAGGTTTTATGAAGTAAAGTAATAATAATTAGTTCAAAATTATTTGTAACTCCCCAGAATGATGAAATTCTTTTTACTAGTACTACTATAACTATTGTTGTTGTTATTATATTAGCAATGTTTTTCATTCTGGCTGCACTGTTATTGTTTAGAGTTAATGTGTAGTTCTAAGCTGAAATGGGAATGGCTTTTTCTGTTCAACTATTAAGAATGTGTAGCCAATACAAACTGGTGCCACTGAAGTTAAGGGCAATTCCTGGGCAAGCTCTTATGCCAATACATTTTCAGTAGTAGACAATCTGAAGAAATAAAGTGAAGTTAAAACTGCATTATTTTATGAGCTGAAATCTGTTTCTATGCACATTACACTTTTAACAACTTCTACAAACAGAAACTCTTGTGATTGCACCAGAGAACTGTTGTTTCTTTCCTTTTTCTGAGAATCTGAGTATAAACTGTATATTTGTGTGCATTCACATAAAATCCATATTTTGATCTTTTAACTTTGTCCTTTCAGTTATTAATATTGACAAATGTCTAAAATTGTGTGATGGATTCTTTTACATTTTAGAAGGAAGCACCGACTAGTTACAATGCTCAGAAAAGGTTGTGCTAGAGCAATTGGTTTTCAGGGAATATTGTGATGTCCCTGAATTGCGTAGATACTTTGTGCAATACAATAAAAAATAAATATATAAAATCATGTTTGTGACTACTTTATATATTATGAAATAATGGATTATTTCAAAATGTGGCTATCATTTAATATTTTCCCATTATATAGTTCTAACTACTAGTAATAGCACTGTATAGTAACTGCTATGACTTTAATCAGGTTAAGTATGATATATGAACACAATGGATCTCTGTCATGAGCTGTGTACACTAGTGTTATAATTAAAATAAAATAGAATCTTCATTTTTTATTGCAGTTCAGATTTCCCTAATCTCCTGAGCTTTTTAATTAGTGTATGGAGTTTTTATGTCACTCTGTTATATCTACTATACAATATATAGATTTGTATATACGTGGAAGTGGATGTCTAAATACGGTTCTGCTATTGAACTGCATGAGATGTCTCTTCTAAGGCTTAAATGCTTATATACTTTAAGTTATTAAAGTAGGAGCATGCATACATTATTTCTTAAGAATCTGAGATATAGTTATCTGTTTTCATTATTTATCTTCACAAAGCTAGATTTTCATTCCACTTAAAGATAGGGTGGCCTATTTTCCCATAACAATTGTTACATCTGCAGTGTTAGTCATTTAAGATTTTGCCAGAGTTGGAACGATTAAGGAATTCTACCTAATGAGATTTCTGATAATGTCATACATGAAGGCAATTATATTGGGCATTAAATCAAGAACAGAAGTGGAACTTTTACATTACATAATTGTAACCTTTCAAAATCTAGTGCCTTGCAGATGTGAATAGCTTTGACTCCCCATAATTCCCAGCCTAAAAGTAGGCTTCCAAATCTTTTAAATCTCACAACAGGCTTCCCATTCCAATCCAATGGGACAGAACATTACTTTAAAAAATACATTGCACTTGGTGTACTGTATATATGGTTTTTTTCCCCCTTCTATTTGGTGACTTCATTCATACAATACATTTAGCTGCATTGATTAAAAGATGTAGCAGGGCTGTATACTCCACATGCTAAGACACTTTTTTGTGTCTTAGAACCCTAAGTGAATCAAGTCCACTTGGTTAGTTTACTCAACAAACCCAGAAAACCAGGTTAAGTGTTTTGCAGGACTATAGGTTTACCTAGCAAGATAAGCTGCAGAAAAACTACCGGTAACCACATTTTGAAAGTAAAAAATGTAGTGTATTATATTACTGTACAGCAACTGCTGTGACTTTAACCAGGATGACCATGTATGAATGAACCTGATTTCCAAGGAGAAGAAAGCAAAGCCCAAACAATTTGAAAGCACAGATGAACTCAATAAATGTGAACTTTCTACCTTCTGTCAAGTCAGCAAATACATACTAGAAGTGTTGGAGGATTGAGGGAGGGGGTCTGTGGGAATGGTTTCATCTTTGGCAGGGCCAGATAGTCTTTATTCAGAGTAGCTATAATGGAATCAGAAAATACAGTTTTCCAGGACCTGCACTGACCAGAAGTCTGATATTTTTGGCTGCACTGCAAGTTTGAGGCAATCGGTTATGTTGCCTTTAAGAAAGTGCTATTCTTTGGAAAGGAATCTCTCACTAGGGAAATGTATCAGGTGATCTTGCAATTAAGATAATACCTTTCTGTGTTTTGTATTCTTTTATTATTTCCCTTGCTACTTTACTGGATAGAGAAAACTAAACAAAACAGCAACTGCTTCTACCTGATCTCATCAAATCAAAATGCTGATGTTGTGAGAACCTGACTATTTTCACAGCAGTAGATTACTCGGGAGACACTGCACAAAGAAAGAAGACTGAAATATATGGCAAAGGCAAGCCTTCTGATACGGTTTCTTTTCTAATGCAGGTTTTGAGGTTTTCTGGCATGAAATAATGATCCAAGATACTTATGCACTGTTATAACCCATTGGTATTATCCAAAACAGTTAAATATGTGCTTAAATGAATTTCACTGGAATTAGTGATACTTTAATTTTTACGAATTCTATCTTCTTTTGCTTTTAACTTCAGGGTAGAATAGATTGGAGTTGGTATCAAAGAGGTATTGTGTAGATTTCTTGGGAATGAAAATACTTGCCAGAGAAAGATACACCCTTATTAGGACAAATCACCACAGTATAAAATTAGGAGCAAGATCAAAACTTCTGCAGAAAACACCAGTTTGGAGAAATACATAATAGGAGGCAATTGTCTTAGATACAATTGGATTTTAAATTGGAATTTAGCTTACCTTTAGCAATCTGGCAGTATTTGAGCTCTGGTGCTAAACTTGGCCCTGAGGTTCAGATTGCATTGGAAATTCCTGATGCTTTCTCCATCTTGAAATTAATAAACTTAACCAACCCTATATAGAGTGCTGAACAAATCTTTCCACAGCTTAAGTAGAATAGTGCTGATGCTGGATTATACATTCTTCATTGCAGTGGAATTCTATTTTAATCTAATTCTCATTGGACCTATATTATTCATAATTTGAAATAATTGCCTTGCGTGTTCACTGGACCTTTGACCAATATCATCCTGAACTTATAGATCTTGCTGGAGATAGGCTGCACCTGGATTTCCTTTAATTGATACGTTATGACGTTGTCCTATCCTTGCCCTATTCTGGCAAGAAATAAAGCAATACATTATCTTTGTCCTTGACTCAGCCTTAAAAATGGTCAGCCCTCAATTTGATCCTCAGCACATTCCATTAAAAACAGGAGGTTACAACAACATACTCAAAATGACAGGTTTATGGACTGCAATGGGAGTTAAGATAAATCATTCCTTAGCAAAAGAAGCATTGATCCAATAGTCTCTGAATTTTTGAATAAGGATTTTCTAGAACTTGCAGTAAAAAATAACATTAAATAGCATGCTGCGAGCACAATATATCTAAATTTTTGAATATGTTTGTCTCAATTCTTTCTCTCTTTCCACATATTTCTCATTTTAACTCTTTAACTGAGTCAAGAGACATTATAGATAAGGCAATATGTGATATTTGGAAGGTGGTTTTGGTTAAATATCTGTTTTCTATAAATAATGTCAACATATTTTTTTAAAAAAAAACATGGTGTGAGTTGGATTATTTTGCAAATAATTAGCAATTCTCAACCTTGGCAACTTTAAGATAGGTGAACTTCAACATTCAAAATTTCCCAACCAGCATAGTTGGTAGGGAGTTGAAATCCACTTCTCTTAAAGTTGCCGAAGTTAAGAAATGCTGATAGAAATGTTAAGAAATAAGGGACAGTCATGTTTTACATGCTTACTGTTAGTTCAAAACAAGACAGGGACCAAGGAAGAATAGGGTAAAGATATTTAGCAATCCTCTTCTAAGACTGGGCAGAGAAGCTAAACGTTGCCCTTTTACACAGTAATAAACTGAAAACCTTTCTTTACATGCAACTAACTGTGGTACAAACACCTACCAACTTGTTGTGGCTGTGTCCTCATGACATTTCCTTCACCAGCCCATACTTGAGGCCGCCTTAAATCATCCATAGCTCTACCATTGTTAATTTGGTGTTTTCCCCTTATGCCAGCATAGGCTTTCCCTTGGATATCAGCAAATGTACTGTGTCAGCCATTCCTCAGTTACCCTTGGTATGAGATCGGCATGGCTTCCATTGGCCATTTTAGATTAGTACAAGGATATATATCCCTTCCAAGTAGTCTCTGGGCATTATTCTTTCAGGTTGGAAGCCTAGATTAGCTTAAACAACAGTGGCAGTTGCCTGATGAAACAGAAAGAGCAGAGATTCTCTCCTTGCTCCTTCACAATGAACCCCACCTGTGCCTGTCAGCCATTTTTAAGACTGATTTTGAAGATGATGTTGATACTTTTCTGGAGCATGTTAAGCCTATATTTAAAAGGAGCCCAATTATAATGGAGCTGTCAACGCTGCTGACATCAGATGTTCTTGCTTTGATAACAGATGGAAATGCAGCCATTTTTCCTCTATTGCTGTTAGAGTTAGTTGATGCTGGGAGGGGGAATGTGGATGAGAGTTGAGCTAGTCATAACAATATTAACTCAGCCATGGAAACCCAAGGTCATTGGGCCCTGAGTTGATAGAGTTTTGGTGGCTGGAGCTGGGGAGAAAGCCCAAGCTTCAAGCTAATTGGGGAATGTGATTTATGACTGTTTATTGGAGGAGGGAATTGTGCTTTGTTACACTGTACCCAGGGGAGAGGAATTTAGTTTTTGGTTTCAACTATGTAGTGCCAATACTATATTTCTTGAATAAAAGATTCTTTAAGGTAAACAATGCCTTGAAGTTCTTTTGAAGAGTTTCATCTGTCTGAACCATGACAGGAGCTTCTTTTGAGTGCATCAATAAAAAAACAACTGCAAAACCAGAACAAGTTTTGAAAGATTGTTAAAGTTGTCAAACTCCTCTCCTTCCCCAAGCCCAGTTGCCTCTCGCATGTAGAAGAATGATTGGTGGATTTTTTTTCCAGCTGTCTATTTAGTGAGAAGGCAAAGAAACAAAGCTGGGGGAATCCACCCAGCCTGTTCTTAATGTTCACTGTTAAATGCTTGTATTGTAACATCCTTGCGTATGTAACAGATAAAGATCACCAGTGGAAACAACAGATTTTCTGCTAGTAGTTTTCTGCTGGCTCAAGACCTGTTGGATAGTATTAACTAACCATGAGAAAAATCTAGAGAAAGAGAAGTTCGCTTTTTCCAAAACTCAGTACTTTTTCTTAGTTCCTTCACAACAGAACTCTGCTAAGAAGGAGGCACCTAAGTAATCTGAGATCAAAATGTGGTTAAAGAGAAATAGATAAAGAGCAAGGCTTAAAAGCAAACAATCTTTTTATGCTATTTATTATATTTTTCTTTTTGGTGCCAT